CCCCCCCCCCCAAGAAAAAACAAGTGTGGACAAAGGGGATTGGGTGGGTGGGCACGTTGCGAACGTGAAAGTCTGCAAGCAATGAGCTACACTTGTGAGCTCCCCGGCTTAAATAAACTCGGTAAGCCTGCAATAACTAATATGAATATATAATTCATATCTATACATAAACAACACGCACACATTCGTTCTCGAAGTTAATTATTTTTATTGCATAAAATCATATAATCTATTATCTAGTCAATGATATTGATTACTTACTCTCCAATAGGATGGCTTTAGCTACAACACCAATGGTAAACGGAATGATCCGGCCGGCGTGCAAACGTCGCATGGAGAAACCAGCGGTCGTGGTTATGGAGGACACCCGTCCATCGACGTGCTCCTATCATAAACAATGCTTGTCTGTTCTCATGGACATTTATGAAAAAAATACGACAATGTCTGACGAGGCATATGACAGCAAAATGAAAAAAATTGCCGAGATGGTTACATCTGCGAACGAGTCGAACACCATATTTCAAACGTTTTGTGGCATATCGTTTCTGGATCGATACCAAGATACTGCAATTATTGCATGCGCTATGCAAGATTTGGACAAGAGAATATCGAACTCATCATGGCGAATGGAAGAGAAACTCGAAGACAAATGCATTCAACTGCTAACGAGAATGGGTACAATTGAAAACCTGAGCTCATTAGATGCCGATTTTATATGTCTTCTATGCCAGCTCTGCAAATCAAGCAATCAATATACAGTACTTTTTGATTTGTTGCTTGAAATTGGTAGAAGTGTCTGGCCCTACCTGAAACGGCCTTTATGGAATAGAGAACCGTTTGTAGACTTTGTTGCAGATATATTTGAAACTATTGGTAAGCGTTTGGAGGAGTTGTATCCCAAGAACTTTTGTATAGCGTGGAAAGTTATTTTTGAGAATCTTGTTGCATCGAAGGCGGATATGTCGTATTACAGCAGGTTACGGCTCTTGGCGGTCATAGAGCACAGGCATAAGAAATGGACTTTGCCAATTGACGTGGAGTTCTACAGGGAACAAATCGAGGTAAGGATTAAATTTATTGTGCATGTTGTTATACACAAATTGTAAAGCTTTTTTGGGAGCGAAAAATATCTAATCGTGCTTTGAAGCACCATTCATTGATTCCACAATAAAAAAACAATGTGTATCAATGTACAATGTATATAATTATTTTCAAAGTGCAAATCAGTTTTACACAATCGGACAGGTCTTAAAATATCTTTTACAAGGCCTTCTGACAAAATGTCCGATGACGTTCAGTTTGGGTTGGACATATATATGATGATGTCTGATGACCTTCAGGACAATGTATTAATTCTGAATGGAAAATGTTGTGAAGATATTAAAAATAATTTGTTTCTTTCATACTTATTTCCAAGCCAAAATTAACTTGCTTGCTAAGAACAGCATTAATTAAGACTTCAACAACTTAAGCCCGTTTTCCATTTCATCATTTCGCTTGCCGCCCCGCGATTATGATTATGTTAAAACAACATTTCCAGCTCACTTTTTATACAATAGTGCTCTGATTTTCCATTTAACTCATACAAGCCTCTGGTCCTGGAGCCCTAGGGTACATTTTGATTTATGTTGGACAAAGCTACAGTTCAGTTGGACACCAATACACTGGGGTCGGACGAAGAATAAACCTCACTTATGTCGGACAGAATGTCCGGTGGCTTCCTCTCTACATCGGACAATTTCACGAATGGGTTGGACAATGTCCATGACCGACCAATATTTTAAGGCCTGCAATCGCAAACACAGATATTCTACTGATTTTGATTGTCTACTGATAAAGCAAAAATTGGCCCGATTCCGATACTGATTATTGGTCATTCACTAAAAATTTTACCCCGTCACTCCCAACAATATTTTTTGTTCCCACCCTGACAAAAAAATTGAACCCCCCTCTCACGGAACACATATTTTGACCTTACCCCTGTGTCTAACTTCACCCCCTCCCGTGACCATTTCCAACAAATATTTTGACACTATCCCTGAGAAAACGTTTGAGTCCCTAACACATATTTTGATATCATTCCCAAGGCTGTCCTCACGAGAAAGAAAGAAATCTTGGCTTTTCTCGGCTTACTGTCGTCAAGGCGTAAAACCTCGCTCACTGTGAAGCCCGGTAGATCTGCCGCAGATTTTCTCAAGAGAAGGCAAAGTTACGAGAGCCAGGAAGTCGAAGAGCGTTGTTCTACCTCGTCTGGGGACGGTTCTGAAGCATTGAACGAGGTGTTTGAGGAAGATTTTGATGAGAACGAGAGTGTTTTCTCGCCTAACACTTCGACTGATGGTTTTAGGAATAAATCATTGTCAAATACAGGTATTTTTTGTTGAAGATTTGTCATAATAGTGCTTGCTATATAGACAAATTTGTTTACACTCTGTTGCTATGTGGACCTTTGCCCCTTTGATTGTCGTAAAACTGTTACCCTGCTGTCGTTTTTCTGTTTCCATTAAAACATAACCGTCACGACACGTTTTTAGCCTGTCGCAACTGTCGTCGAGATAGAACTCGAGTCTATCTCGACGACACTGTTGTAACTGTCGTGAACTGTTGCCAGTGTGTCACGACAAGACTTTTCTTCATGTTTCCATTCGGTCGCGAACACTACACACGTAAAAATCTCACATCTTGTAGCAAGTCTGCCAACAAGCTGTCAACAAGTTGTGTTCGCACTGCTTGTCCCAAGTTGTCAACAAGTTTGGAACAAGCTGTTAACAACTTGCAACAACCTTGTTGATATTATCAGACTTGTTCCAAGGTTGTTCCAACAAGTCCAATACAGTCATGATATAGCAGTATTGTTACAACCATGTGTCATCAACCTTGTAAGTTGTAACATTCTTGTTATATCATGACTGTATCAGACTTGTTAGAACAACCTTGTGACACGTCTGATAATGCCAACAAGCTTGTTAGCAGTTGTTAAAAGCTTGTTCCAAACTTGTTACACTGAACAACTAGGAACAAGCAGTGCGAACACAACTTGTTGACAGCTTGTGAACAGATTTGTAACAACTTGTATGCAAACCTGTAAGAACTTGTGCGTTTTTACGTGTGTGCTCTGACGACAGTTACAACACATTCGCGACAGTTATGACTTATTATTATTATTATTATTATAAATTTCCAAACTAGCAGTAACAACTGAATTACTTTGGAATTACAGGGTATAAGAACATAGGTATTTAATCTATTCTATATTTACAGGTAAAAATAGGTAAGTTAGATAAAAATAACGATAATAATCTAAAGTTTACTTATTATTATAAGCACGAGACGCAGCAGGAATGAAACTGTTCGAAAAACGTTCAGTTCTACACCTAGGTACTAATAAGTTGGGATAAGACCTCAGATTATAAGTTTGAAGACTTTTAGGCGGTACTAAGGCATTCAGTTTATGAGTGGGTTCCAACATCTTCGAAAAAAGTCGCTTGCAATGGACAGTTCTACGTTCGTAAAGAGTCGTCAAGTTAGCTTTAAGCAAACATTCAGCATAGATAGTTCCAGGGAAAATAATTTTTAACGCCCTTTTTTGTATTTTTTTCAACTTGATCACTCAGGTAATAAGGAAGGCCATAATAGCTATAGACTTAATTTTGATCTAGGCAAGGAAAACAAAATCCAACACCACAGCTAGAAAGAGCATGTTAAAATTAGGAAAATTGCAAAGTTTGGTTGCGAAATGTTGTAAAATGAGGAAAATATAGCCCTACGAAATTTGCAAGTTTTGTATTAATTTCTATTACGCACGGGAAAATGCACCACTTCCGGGCCAAACGTGGTGCATTTTCCTGTGCGTGATACAAATTAATACAAAATTTGCAAATTTCGCAGGGCTATATTTTCCTTATTTTAGAACATTTCGCAACCAAACTTTGCAATTTTACTAATTTTAACATGGTATTTCTAGCTGTGGTGATGGATTTTGTTTTCCTTGCCTAGATCAAAATTTATTCTAAAGCTGGAGTCATCCATTAACATACCTTTGTGTTATTCTGTGCTTCTGTATACTAGAACATTATATAGTCAGCTAGGCATGTGAGTTGTTTAATTTTTTTTTTTTTATAAACAAATGTTAGCCAATTTTGTGTATGAGTTAATGGTTATTTTTTTATGTAAATATCAGAGCCCAAACCAAATCGAGGGGAAAACACTACAAATGGATATCACGATGAAAACAACAAGAACAATGACAGAGAAACTCTCTTGGAAACTAAAAATTATTCTGTTGAAGATACTAAAAAAACTGTTTGTATGACAGAGAGTGTAAAACAAGACTCCTGTCTGATTGAACGGAATGGTTGTTCAGGTGAACATAAGGAATTTGTAGTGGAAAGACAAAATCGAGATGTGGACAGATGGAAGGAACAGCTAAAGGAACAAAGAGCAGCGAGGAATGAGGAAATTGAAGCTCAGAAAATACCAAGAGAAAGTGGAAGTGATGTACCGAAAGATACTGGGAATGATGACGGGAATGATCACGGGAATGATCACGGAAATATCTGGCAAGAAAGTGGAAACTCATGTCAGGAAAATGAAGATAGGAAGAACACGAGGAGTGAAGAGAATCTGTCGGTGGAAACAGGGAACGGATGGCAAGAGATGGAAGATATTTGGCAGGAAAGTGACAACGCGTGGAAGGAGAACGACATGATATGGCAAGACACGCAATGTACAGGTATATTAAACCTTTACAGCGCCCTGATTAAACGTATTTGTGAAGCCGCTTTTCGCCATGCTAGTATTGTCCCACAGCACGTGTTGTGTCGTGGTTACCACGCTTGCCTTTCAAGCTGAGAGACTCTGGTTCAGTCCTTGGTCGGACCTCTAGTCAAGGTCTTAAAATAATCGAGGAGAAAGAGCTACCTTTACATTGACATCAGTAAATGGTTAGACTTTTAGGCGTCTTCTCGGATAAGGACGTTAAAATCGTAGTTACCTCGGATCCCCTAACAATTGGACAATAGCTTGTTGGGACATTCGCTCACCAATGAGCGAGAAAATCGATAAACTTAAAGCGGGTCAAAATGCAACGTAATTGCCTAAGCGTGATTTCTATATGATCGTAACGGACTAACGGCCGTAAAGATTGAGTCACGATCTTTCTCATCAGCCGAAATACCACAGAACTGAAAATAGGCAGAGTGATTATAAATAGAGAACACGTATGATTTATACGCGGTGCACAGTTAGCAACTATTATAATCTGGCCGTTGAGGAAGATAGCGACTCGTTACGAGCATATGAAAACATGGCTTTAGTTGTGAAGTAGAAACCGACACGGCTGTATGCAAGATTTTTTCCAACAAGTGGGGGGGGGGGGAATACTTTTTTGCTGAAATGACTACCCGAAGTCATATCGGTTAGATGCATGGCTGCTCCATACAGAATCATACATTCGGATTCACGAGATTACAAGTAGAGCCATTTGGCTTAAGAGGAGAATCTTTTGTATGTCACGTAATACGCGCTCAAAAAAATTGGTTATGACTATATTCAATTTTTTGCATTTCTTTCATACGTTTCTCAAGCGGCAAACAAACTTAAAAAGTATGTTTAGTGCTTTACCTGTAAAGTAATGCTAAAAGGAAGAGATTTTAGATGGTACGCCAAAGAGAAAATGATGTCTGAAGTTCAGCAAGTTTTGCTTATATTGCTACATGTATAAATATGGCGTGAATTTTACAGCATCAATGGTAATTGTATTTAAATTGAAAATTTTTTACTATTATTTTGTGTTTCTCAACCGCCAGATACATTTAAAAAGGTTTCTGATTGTGTAAACTACAAAATAAAGCTAAAACAAAGTAATTTTGAGAGGAACGCCAAAAATATTTTAGGTTCTGAACACTTTTCATCGGAAATACGCGACATTGAAAAAAATTGCCTCTTAATAATTTATAATAACAAGTTGAATTTTCTCGGGGCACTGTCAAGTGCCAACTCTTATGCACTTTCATCCCCGTCTGATCTCTGAGACTTCACTTACCGTTTAGATGACAAAATATCAAGTCTCAGAAATGATGACAATGCATCAAATGAAACGAATATCAATGTTCCTGAACATAGAAGGTAATGACGTATATTAAGATCTCCTAGTAGCTAGAAGATTAAAAAATTTGGCAATTCAGACCGAAGTTAAGGAATATCGTGTTTCTTAAGTGACTTTTGAAGTCACCTGACATTGTTTTGCGTACTAAAAGGTAAAAACAGACAAATATATTTTTTAGGCTACACGACATCGTCACAACACTTATCTGGTACCCAATTTTTCTTCACCAAAGTTTTGAAGTTGAACAATCTTTTATGTACTATTTAAAACATGAGCAGCAGTGTTTTATCAGATATGAAGATACGAGACGAAGCCGAGTATCTTTAGGTCTGATAAAACACGCACTGCGAATGTTTTAAATTGCTTCAAAAACGATCGATCTAGTAAGTTCATTGGCGAAGTAATTTTCAAAAAAATACGTTGTGCATGTAAGTCGAGAAAATCAAAGTTAAAGTTTATGTAAATCAAGGGAAATTTCTATCACATATAGAGATACGACACGCTTATAATTTTTCTTTGTTTAAAACGGTGTATAACGCCGAATTTTTGACTGTAGCTAACACCCTGCTTATACTAAAGAATTCTTTCAATTTTTCTGTGTAGTTTCTTGTCAGACAGAAGAAAGGAACTCGTAAAAGTCCACCAGAAATACGTTGGAAGAGGTACAAATGTTAATAATGTTAAATTTAATTCGTGCAATAGTAAAACTATTTTCATGGATATAAAGGGTCATACGAATAAGATAAAAGATAATGGCGTAAGACAGATAAATAGTATTGAATTTTTTAGATGCAACTTTCAAATGATGAACTTGATCGAAAGTAATTAATTTGAATTCTTTAATTTTATTAAAAAAATCCTATTGTTTTTATCTAATTTGGACAAGTTTGAACATTGATTCTTGAACGCAAGTGGTTGGTTAATATTTTGATTCGTCATTCGTTTCATCACGCACAAAAATCTGAAACTTCGACTAAAGCTAACGCTGTAATATCAGGTTTTTGGGACATCCTGTATTATTGTTTTTCCAGTGATCGGGGCGCAAGGTAGCAGGATAGCGTCCATACAAGATGAATCTGGCGCAAGAGTACACATTATACGCCCACAAAAAGAAAAAGGTACGGAGAAGTGTTAGGGAGCGGTCGTTTTTTAGGGGGGGGGGGGGTCGGCACCGAAGGGAAATGTTTTTCTTGATAAAAATTTTGCTGTTCCCACCGTTAAAAAGTGAAAATTTTTTGGACCCAACCTCAAATATCAATTAAAAAATAAATACCCATCCCTGGCCAAAAACTTTACAAAGTGATACGAAAGTGTTTTGTGACATGAGTTTGATCAATGCTTGTGCAATTTTCTGCAGTCTAAAGTTTCATGTTGTCTGCACATGTACTTTCTTTGCAGACACCATTTGCCTCCTGACAAATCGGAAAATGATCAAGATAGCGACTTTGCCGATTTACATATGACTGTTGACATTCCTTTTTAGTCTTCAATATTTGAATGAGTCATGCTTTGGAAATGAGAATACATTTGTATTACCCAACCCTTGAGTTGTTTTTCATTTACCCAACCTTTTACTCACTCAAAATTTTGTTTACCCAACCCTTTTCTCTTCGTTGCCACCCCCCGCCATAAATAATGACCAGTCCCTTAGAAATGGAAGCCTATATCTTATATCATTCTGGTACTTAATTTGAGACATTTGCTATTTTGTTATTTTTTTTATTCTGCGATTTGCAACTATATTCTGATTGCTTTTACAAGTTTAAAGCCACTGGCGTCCACGGCTGTGATTTCTGCCGGAGGGAATGTCTCGCAGATGCTCACAATTAGGTCTAAAAAGTGTGGATGATTTCCTTCGAAATTTTCATTCAAGAAAAATATCTTTATATTGTAAATTCTAGTTGTTCCTGCAAGACCAGCTTTCTCTATGAGCACCGTAAAGAACATTGTGCATAATACCCTGGGAATACCAAAGGACAAAACTTCAACAACAGGTACAGAACCGTTGGTGACTTTGTAAGCCCAGATCAAACAAGCATCATTGGTAGACACGCGACCGGGGTTAGCTGTTCTTAATGCTTTCCCAACACTATCATGTACAGTAAAACCCTGCATATATAAGAACCTAGATTTTTCCAAGAATCCAAGTTAGCCTAAACAGGTTCTTATGTATATGGTGCTTATACCAGGAAACTGGACTAAACAGGTTCTTATTTTCTTAAGAAAAAGGCGGCTCATTTTCAGCAGGTGTGGTATAGGATTTATATAAATTATGCACAAATTATGTAACAGTCCATGATGCTGGAACACATTGCTCACAGCCACCATGGATAATAAAAGAAATGGATAGGAAACTAGCTGACGTGACCTAATGTTTTCAATGGGCTGATGGCGTGGTTAGATGTTGAAACCTGGTTGCAAACCAAATTCTCAAAAACGGCATGTTTAGCAATAATACAGCTAAACATTTTAGTAAAAGAGCAAATAAATATAACTACGCCATTCTACGATGAAATCTCTAAGTATTCCCAGTCAATTTTAGCAAATATTTCAAACACTAAACAATGAAAAATGCATCGCAAATTTCGTTAAAATTGGCGACGTCAATTTCGTAGCTACAAATGTAAAAAAAATACAAAACAAAGACGAAAAACATTTGCCTTGAAAACTTTGTCGTGGCTTAGGCATGTTTTTAAAACAATTAGACCAGTTTATGCTTCAATATCACCCTTTTAAAGTGGAAAATATAGCAAAACAACAAAAATGCCGAGAACTTTGCCAATAGGCGTGACGTCACAGATTGCAACTAGGTTTAGACTGTGACGTCAGGAAGTTTCCTATCCAGTTATTTTACAATCCATGCAGTCACTAGTAGTTGAGATTGTCATGTATAGTATTTTCACTGAAGAATTACAATTATTGAGAGCTTGAAATGTCACCATGCAGTAAAAATCCTTGACTGGCTTTTCCTTGGCTTTTCTTAACAACTATTTATGCCTCCTGCAACCCAATTATCTTACAAATATAACTTACATTCTCTTCTCCAGACGATGATACGACAGAGCAGGTGAAAAACGACGTGGAGAGCAAAGATGATCACGAAGAATTTGAATTTGAAATAATTGGATCAAACGAAAGCATAGAGTAAGTAAACAATGGGGAAATTTTGGGATTTTGGCCATCTCGATAGGTTTAATACTTGAAGGGGTTTTGTTGATGCAGTCTTAAAATATCTTTTACAGGGCCGTCTGACAAAATGTCCGATGACTGTGAGTTTGGGTCAGACATATTATGATGATATCCGATGACCTTCAGTTCAGTTTGGCTCGGAAATAAGTCTGAATGACACAGATTAATATCAGCACAATATATTAATTCTGAACTAAATGTTGTGAAGATATTAAAAAAATTGTGTCATTCATACTGACATAGTTATTTCCAAGCCAAGATTAACTTGCTTGCCAATAACAGCAGTGGACTTCGACAACTTTAACAGTTTTCCGCGTCACCAATTCGCTCGCCGCCCCGCGCTCGATTACATTAAAACAACATTTCCAATTCACTTTTTATACCGGTACTCTGATTCTCCATTTAACATACGAGCCTCTAGTCCTGGACTAGAGTACATTTTGATTTACGTCAGACAAAGCTACAGTTCGATCGGACACCAATACATGGGCGTACCGGAAGGAAAAAATTAGGGGGGCGGAAAGAAATTTGCCCGACTTTTCCGGATTGTGCCCGACTAGGACCGAAATAATTTTTTCCGGAATTTATTTTGGCGACCTCCCCCCCCCCCGTCGCAAAAAAATTTCTTTCAGTGTACCATTTTAGGGGTCAAAAAATTTTTTCGGACATACCAAAATTTTTCGGAACATCACAAATTTTCGAAACATCACAAAAGTGACCACAAAATTGACAGAATTTATCCAATTTATTTTTATAATAAACCATAATTGCCCGACTGTTGAGCGAATATTGCCCGACTGCCCAACAAACTGGGGGGGGGGCTACCGCTCCCCCCCCCCGCCCGGTACGCCCATGCACCAATACACTCGGGTCGCACAAACAATAAACCTCAGTTTCACTTAGGTCAGACAGAATGCCCAATGGTTTCCTCTCTACGTCGGACAATTTTAAGGCCTGAAATGGAAAATTCAAGTGTAAATGTTTATACATTATTATACATATATTATTTTATACAATTCATCAGCCTATCAACATCAAAATACGATTTAAAGTTCATGTCTTGTCCTCTTTATAAATTTTTCAGAAAGGCAAAACAGAAGATCGAGAGCATTATCAGCCATGCGAAACGTTTGGAAAACCACACAAGTTTGAAAAGAAGTTTTTCAGAGGGTATTTCTTTTTTTTACTTTATTGCTTTTTATGGTTGAGCAAACATACCAGCCACGTTCTATACGCATATAATATAAGCTTCTCTGTCTTTTTTTCAGGTGATGATTTCAACAGATACTTTCGGAACAGGTATACTAGCTACAGTATACAGTATATGGTGTACAATGTAACAGTGTTGTTAAATTCTTCTTACTTATTGTTTTTAGCTTAGAGACACAGTTGCTCTATTCTTTAATAGCGTATCCCTCATGAAATAAAGTTGATTTGGTTTGATTTTATTTTGAAAGGAAAAAAGTCATCATCAAAGTTTCTGATAAATATGTTGGCCGAGGTAAAGTTTTCTGTATGACATTTGCCATAATAATAGTACCATCCTGACATGATCCAGTGATCAGAATGTTCCATTGTCTTATCATTGTTTTGAAAATCCCACTGTCCTACATGCCATCCAGTCATGATCCGGTGATCAGAATGTTCCATTGTCTTTTCATTGTTTTGAAAATCCCACTGTTCTCAATGCCATCCAGTCATGATCCAGTGATCAGAATGTTTCATTGTCTTATCATTGTTTTGAAAATCCCACTGTTCTCCATGCCATCCAGTCATGATCCAGTGATCAGAATGTTCCATTGTCTTTTCATTGTTTTGGAAATCACACTGTTCTCCATGCCATCCAGTCATGATCCAGTGATCAGAATGTTTCATTGTCTTTTCATTGTTTTGAAAATCCCACTGTTCTCCATGTCATCCAGTCATGATCCAGTGATCAGAATGTTTCATTGTCTTTTCATTGTTTTGAAAATCTCACTGTTCTCCATGCCATCCAGTCATGATCCAGTGATCAGAATGTTTCATTGTCTTTTCATTGTTTTGAAAATCTCACTGTTCTCCATGCCATCCAGTCATGATCAAGCGATCAGAATGTTCCATTGTCTCTTCATTGTTTTGAAAATTTCGCTGTTCTCCATGCCATCCAGTCATGATCAAGTAATCAGAATGTTCCATTGTCTTTTCATTGTTTTGAAAATCTCACTGTTCTCCATGCCATCCAGTCATGATCCAGTGATCAGAATGTTCCATTGTCTTTTCATTGTTTTGAAAATCCCACTGTTCTCCATGCCATCCAGTCATGATCCAGTGATCAGAATGCTCCATTGTCTTTTCATTGTTTTGAAAATCCCACTGTTCTCCATGCCATCCAGTCATGATCCAGTGATCATAATGTTCCATTGTCTTTTCATTGTTTTGAAAATCCCACTGTTCTCCATGCCATCCAGTCATGATCTAGTGATCAGAATGTTCCATTGTCTTTTCATTGTTTTGGAAATCACACTGTTCTCCATGCCACCCAGTCATGATCCAGTGATCAGAATGTTCCATTGTCTTTTCATTGTTTTGAAAATCCCACTGTTCTCAATGCCATCCAGTCATGATCCAGTGATCAGAATGTTTCATTGTCTTATCATTGTTTTGAAAATCCCACTGTTCTCCATGCCATCCAGTCATGATCCAGTGATCAGAATGTTCCATTGTCTTTTCATTGTTTTGGAAATCACACTGTTCTCCATGCCATCCAGTCATGATCCAGTGATCAGAATGCTCCATTGTCTTTTCATTGTTTTGGAAATCACACTGTTCTCCATGCCATCCAGTCATGATCCAGTGATCAGAATGTTTCATTGTCTTTTCATTGTTTTGGAAATCACACTGTTCTCCATGCCATCCAGTCACGATCCAGTGATCAGAATGTTCCATAATTGTCTTTTCATTGTTTTGAAAATCCCACTGTTCTCCATGCCATCCAGTCACGATCCAGTGATCAGAATGTTCCATTGTCTTTTCATTGTTTTGAAAATCCCACTGTTCTCAATGCCATCCAGTCATGATCCAGTGATCAGAATGTTCCATTGTCTTTTCATTATTTTGAAAATCCCACTGTTCTCCATGCCATCCAGTCATGATCCAGTGATCAGAATGTTCCATTGTCTTTTCATTATTTTGAAAATCCCACTGTTCTCCATGCCATCCAGTTACTCATTGTATTGACTTGTTCGTGACGTTATGCAAAGGGCTATTCTCCCACACTCAGTGGTTAGAATGTGTCATTGTCTTGCCTTTGGTTTGAAATCCCTACGAGTACTGTCCACAACTTCCACGAAGCTCATTATTCGTTTTCTCCTGCTAGTAATTGGAAGTGGTGGCAGTATGATTATGACAATTGAGGAGGAATCTGGAGCGAAGGTGACGTTTCTTAAAGACAGAAGGACAGAGAAATACAGAGCTACGCAACAAGAGAGGGATATAGAGAACAGGAAAGAGGAATTACAGAATGAATTGGCCAAAGATGGAGAACAAGATGAAAGGAAAGACGTGGAGGAGCCAGTTGAGCCACAGAGCGAAACAACACGAGAGCGGAACGTGGAAGAAAGCAAGGAACACATGACAGTCATAGAGGAAGGGCAATTTCAAGACGAACAAAAATCCGTGGAGTCAGGAATATGTAGCGAGGAAAAACAAAGTGGGGGAGATCTTTTCCTACCTGAGAAAGGTGATGTGAAACTTAAGGAAATAATAAAGGCAGAGGTGTAACTTTACTATTTTGACCACTTGCCCTCAGGGCAAGTTGGACATGAAAATTGGTTGCCATGAATAAAATCCACTTGCCATCAGACAATGACCAATTAAAGGGACAACATGTCGACCCGTTCTCCCACTTCTCTATATGGCTATGTTATACTGCCTCAGATCTAGCTTTGGAACACACAAAAAAATTTTGAATCAAGTACTATAAAAGTACTATTTTGAATCAAGCACTATAAAAAATTTGTCCGACAATGAAAACATAAACTTAAAGATGCCCAGCTTTTTGTGGCAAGGCAACTTGCCCAATCGGGCAAGCAAGATAAAACGTTTACTTGTCCATCTCAAATTCATTAATAATTCATGAGTAATTCAGCCAATGATAATCACCTATTTGATCACAAGATGCCATTTGGATACTTGATGAAAGTCACTAGTGTTTTCATCAAATATCTTAATTACGCATGCAAAATTACTTGAATAGAATTCCTAATTACGTTATGCTTGGTTAAGAATTCTATTCAAATCAGCAAACGAAAATATTCTGTTACGTCTCGATTCATTTGAGAAGCCATATAAACAACTCGAGCTCGTGTCTCACCGGGATATCCAAACACTCGAAAACAATGTATGAAAACACTCGCGCTTCGCGCTCGTGTTCTCATACATTGTTTTCTCGTGTTTGGATATCCCGGTGAAACACTCGCTCTCGTTGTTCATATCTTACATCTCAAACTCATTAATAATTCATGAGCAAATTAGCGAATGAACTCACCCTAATTCGTCACATGATTGAGGTTAGATACCGCAAGGAAACACGCTAAAAATCATATACCATCACTGTTGTTAGATGAAAAACGGTTTTCATCTAATAACTGAGATCCTAATTACAAATTCAAGTCAAAACACAACAATATACTATAATAATATATATAAGCCAATGAAATGTTTTCGTTTGAGATGTTGTGTAAACAACTCGTTTCTCGTGTTTCATCAGGGGACCAAACACTCGAAAACAATAAAACACTCGCGCTTCGCGCTCGTGTTTCATGCAGTTTTCTCGTGTTTGGATCCCCTGATGAAACACTCAAACTCGTTGTTTACATATAACATCATGATATTCACTTGCCCCAGGCAAGCGGGCAAGTGTTAAGTTATACCTCTGAATAAAGGCGATGAATATAAGCGTAGAATAGAACAAAGGTAACCAATGGGCCTGTTTGAGTCCCTGCATAGAATCATAGAATATGTATTGAATGCTGTATTTATCTATTTTGTCTCCTAGGCGACACTTGTGAGGAAAGTCCACGGATTGTCCACGCAAAAGTTGAAGGAAAGGCAAATGAGGCATTTGACTTTGAAATAAGTGGAACGGATGAACAGATAGAGTAATGAATTATTTGTTGTGTTAAAACTCGATTGACTTTATTTATGCTGGGTATCTGTTCTAAATTGTTCTTTCATTATTATTCTTGATGTTCAGAAAAGCGACGAAGAAAATTGAATACATCATGAAACTGGTTGATAATGGGGAGAAGAAACCATTCACGAGAAGTTTCAGTTGTTCTACTCCAAGAAGAGGTACTTGGTTTGATCACAATTTAATTATCATCATCGTTATCACTCATTATCATTATGATCTTCATTGTCATTATCATCATTATAATTATTATTATCATCATCATTATCGTTTATCATTATCTTAATTATTATCATTATTATTATTGTCATCATAATTATTATTATCATTAACATAATTATCATCATTATTGTCATCAATATCATTAACATGATCACTATCATCCGCATTATTATCATCATTAGTATTATCATTACCATTATTATCATCATCATTATCGTCATCATAATCATTAACATGATTATTATCATCATCATTATCATCATCGTTATCGTCATCATGATCATTAACATGATCATCATAATTATTATAATCATTATCGTCATCACAACCATTATTAACATATTATTTTCACCATTATCATAATTATTCTCGTCATCATAATTACTATTATCATCCTCATCATTATCATCCTGATCATTATCATCATCATCATTATCATCATCATCATAATTAGCATCATCATCATCATAAACATCATCATAATCATCATTAACATTTTGATCATCATCATCACACTAAGATGCAAGATCAGACGGGTGATCCATCTCCAATTTTGATCATTAATTTCTCAAGTACATTTCTTCAGGGTAAACCCAGCGATTTATTTGCCTATTTTTTCCACGTCAGGTTTCAAGCAATTCCAACGCAGTCTGTCTTGTCCTATCCCGGACTGGGGTGAGAGCTGTACAGGAGAGTGTGCCAGCTGTCAGAAAGGTTCTTATTGCAGGTCGTTTCTTTTGCAAAAATCCGAGTCTCCATCTTGCTGGATAAGGCCTGAGGTGCTCGCACTCACGCAAGATGCTGACTGGGCTGAGTTTATTGTTAAAACAAAGGTAGGTGTAATATAATCGTCTCATACTGGATGGTTCTATCAGTTCTAAACTGTTCTCCTTAGAGGTCCAGCAAGGATCGTCTCTTATTGATCCTGTGTTACTACAGGAGGAAACCTAAACTAACTTTATTTATACTAGATAGTTCTATCAGTTCTAAACTGTTCTTCCTAGAGGTCCTGCAAGGATCATCTCTTATTGATCCAGTGTTACTACAGGAGGAAACCTAAACTAACTTTATTTATACTGGATAGTTCTATCAGTTCTAAACTGTTCTTCCTAGAGGTCCAGTAAGGATCATCTCTTATTGATCTAGTGTTACTACAGGAGGAAACCTAAACTAAACTAACTTTATTTATACTGGATAGCTCTATCAGTTCTAACCTGTTCTCCTAGAGGTCCAGCAAGGATCATCTCTTATTGATCCAGTGTTACTACAAAAGGAAACCTAAACTAAACTAACTTTATTTATACTGGATAGCTCTATCAGTTCTAAACTGTTCTCCCTAGAGGTCCAGTAAGGATCATCTCTTATTGATCCAGTGTTACTGCAGGAAAAAACCTAAACTAAACTAACTTTATTTATACTGGATAGCTCTATCAGTTCTAAACTGTTCTCCCTAGAGGTCCAGTAAGGATCATCTCTTATTGATCCAGTGTTACTGCAGGAAGAAATCTAAACTAAACTAACTTTATTTATACTGGATAGCTCTATCAGTTCTAAACTATTCTTCCTAGAGGTCCAATAAAGATCATCTCTTACTGATCTAGGGAGGAAACTAAACTAACATAACTAAACTAAACTAAGCACGTATAACATTACAAAGGCACATTTTTCCAAACGAGAAAATCATACCGTTCTTGAGTTGTGGATGACAAGCATGCAAATCTCGGCATGTTCGTCCGGGATTCTCTTTACTACCAAGAGGATTTTTAATATTTGATGTTTGACCAGCTAAATCGATGATTTGTTGTTGAATAGGAACACCCTAAACGACAAAGATAATAAGTAAAAGGTATATTGCACAAAACATCACAGTAGAAGCATTATAGCGATTACCTCTTTCTCTGGATCTCCGAAGACTGATTGGTAATAGTGGTAAATTCGGGCTTTTATCTGTGCTTGCTGGGTAGCTGGCTAAAATTGAAGAAAGTAGGAATTACATCATCATTGCCTTACGTGTATTGCGTATACAGCTGATTCAATTAAGGTTAAACCTTGAATCTTAAACTCTGAGCGCGCAAGGGATGATGGGTTTTCACCTACTATAGGCCTTTAAACTTGCCTTTGCAGCAAGTATGTTTTCTATGGTGAGTCTTCTATATGTCTTAGGTATTCTTGCAAAGACAAATTTCAAAGTTTGTGAGTCTAAATAAGCAATAACCCATCATCCCTTGCGCGCTCAGAGTTTAAGGTTTACGTTTTTGTATAGAAAAGATTATATGGATAAGAAAATCTAAATTTTTGACCCTAGTAGTTTTTTGACCCTAATAATTTTTCATCTTCATCATCGTTTAGAATATACCTCAAGAACAAGTGTAATGATACTCTGGATCCTGAAATGACTTGTACCTACTCCCTTAACCATGATTGTGTTTGTCACAAGCAATAAATTAATATAAGTAAATAAATTAATCTGTATGATTAACTTTTAATAAATATTATATAGAACTATGTTCTACAAGAGGAGAGGCAACTTGCATTGGTCTTACATGTTAATCTGCGCAATATAAATCTTAAATATTATTATTTTTAACTTCCAGTTCGTGCCTTGTCCTTTGAGTTCAAAACTTTATTTAGCGTGCATGTTTACTTGGACTCGTATTTGTAGTTATAATTGTATTTATTATATAAACATAAGTGTTATATATAGTTTTTGGCCACTGAGAAAAATCGTATTTAAACACACGTAAAAAATACGATATTTTTACGTGTGAAAATATCATTTGTTGTAAAACGCATTGCCACGGACGTTTTATTGTTTTTCACTGAATTTTGAATCATGTTCTGATGTTCAACACTCGAAATAAATCTGGTATTTCCGCGCACCCATGTATTATTCTCTATGTATATGTGTGGATTTGTACTCAAGAAAGTCTATAAAAAAAAATGGTTAGCACCTGTTGACGAGGGGATGTCGAAACTTGCTTTACAGGACCTGGTGGACCCTACAAGCAAAAACATAAAAATTGATATTTATTATATACAGTAGTAGAGAGTGAAAAATACACAGTGAGATATTTTCCATATCTTCACCAGTGAAGATATCGATCACGTGACTTTTTCCAATTTTCTTTTGAGCGTGAAATTTCACATTTTTTTGCTTGGGACTATATAATAAACAGAACACTACACGGTGGCTTGAAGATATGACTTTTATCTTCTCGTGTTAAAAACAATATTTTACTCACTCGCTGCGCTCGTTCGTAAAATATTGTTTTCACCACTCGAAGATAAAAGTCATATCTTCGGGCCGCCGTGTAATATCCTCTATATCTGAATCCGTGAACTCTAAAAGGACTTGAACGATAACTTGGCCGCCATCTTTGAAGCCAAAAACTTTCAACAAGCTAAAAACTTTCAACAATACTTGAAATTTAATACAGAACATGTTTCCGGAACGTAGAGCAGTTTTAAAGTTCTTTTCACAGGGGTGAAAGTTAGACGTTTTTTTCGGCACGTTCAAATTTGTGTAATGTTTTGAATAGGAAACTGTTACCCAGGAAGTTTGGATGTAAAATACTTGCTTCCTTATTGCTTAAGCTTAAAAGATAATGAAATATGTGAAAAGGTAAGAAAGCTTACCGGTGGACCGCGAGGACCCTATACACAAACATAACCAAATATAAGAACAGTGTTAGACAACATGTAAAAAAAATAACGAAACAACAATGATTGTGTATGGAAATTCAAAAACTTACTTGTCCGCCTTTCCAACCCTAATCAAATCGACACAGCATAAAAATAAGTATAAATATATAAAAATTTGGATTAAAAAGAGTCAAAATGAGTAAATATGTTGAATTTGAAATGCATCAGAATAAAACAATAATTACAAATGATGAAATATACAACAGCGTGATAATTCTGTTCAATATCTACCTTAAATCCTGCGTCTCCCGGACTTCCTGGGTAGCCCTAAAAATAATGGCATTTTTTTGTTATAACTTTTTGAACGCGAGACAATTAAGAATATCATAGCGTTGATAATTTTAAAGTTCTTGTGTCGCACCTGTTGCCCTTTGATACCCTAAAGCGAAAAAATATCGTGAATTAAAACAACAGGAAATAATCCACATTTTCAGACAACTTGTATGCCTAGTTACAACTGTTCTGGTAATGTATCACTGGGAACAAATGTGAAATCCATACTATGAAATTTGCAATTGCACCAGTAAATCCATAGTATATCCATACTATTTCGATACTATATCCATAGTATGAAAATACACAATTATTATGGATAACCAAAATCCATTCTATTTCCAATAAAGGTCGATACAATTACCATTCTATGACCTTCTATGGATTTTCACAATTTTTTTCCAGTGGTAAGCATAGAATGGTAGTGAAGCATTGTTTAAATGGTTTCACTATTCAGGTATAAACACCAACCTTTTCACCCCTATTTCCAAGCAATCCAATCGGCCCTAAGTGACCAGCTTCACCCTGTTTGAATTAATACAGTACATACCAAGTTAAATTGAGGAGTTCGGGGTGGGTGGAGGAATGAGCCGCACTGCTCTGTCTAACGTCAGACGATTTTACTCGCCAGGGGGAGAGTCAGGGTCTTAGCCAGGATTTGCAACTTGGGTGTCCAAATTTGAAATTTCATTTATGACACCCATATTTTTCCATATGGAACCATGGCACCACTTCATGCACCAGTAATTCAATGTGATTATTTCCGCATGCTGGGAGTAATCTGTGACCACACTTGAGAATCGCTCAAAAAAACTAATAATATATTCAATTATTCAGACTATGTGACTACTCACTACACTGACTACACTAGTACAGTTTAAGTAAATCTGCCAATATATTAATCTTATGATTGATATTATGTTGTCACTTTCATGCTATAAATACAGTACTTCAGTACTTGTAGCTTTGATAAGCTATAGTGTGAGTGAAGGACACAACCAAAAAACAACACAAAGCAACTAATTATCTTATATAGTTATATTCTACGGTTTTTGGCAGCTAGGCCTAGGAATCTTTGGTTTGACAGATTTGGCAGCTTGCAAGTGAGCAATGTTTATGTTTACCGTCCAAAAGCCGTCTTTTTTAGAAGGCCGTCCAAATTTGAAAATGGCCGTCCAAAAGACGGCTGGACGGTAGGCTGGCTAAGACCCTGGGGAGAGTCTTACATACTAAAGCAAGTGTTAAATTTCGTGAGACAAACCTGTGAGCCTTTTGGACCAAATATTCCTGGCTGACCAACCCCACCTATGAGACCCTAAATAATATTTTGAGAAAGAAATCAGAAAATATTTCAAACTCAACACTATTTTAAACGCGGAAAAGACAACCATTCGTGGCACTGCGTATTTCTACATTTGTCGTTCACCTCTGGGTTCAATTCCTGCAATATCCACATGGGCGTACCGGAAGGAAAAATTTAGGGGGGCGGAAAGAAAATTGCCCGACTTTTCGGGATTGTGCCCGACTAGTACCGAAAAACTTTTTCCGGAAAAATTATTTTGGCGACCCCCCCAAAAAAAAATTTTCCGGACAACCAAAATTTTTCGTAACATAAGACAAATTTAAAAAAAAACACAAAATTGCCCACAAAATTTACTTAATTTTAGACAAAATTTACAGAATTTGTCCCATTTTTTTTATTGCAAACCAAAATTGCCCGACTGTTGATCGAATATTGCCCGACTGCCCAACAAACTGGGGGGCTACCGCCCCCCCCCCTCGCCCGGTACCCCTATGAATATCCAGTTGTCTGAATATAATTTCACCTCAGTCACATGTGAGAAGAGCTTGCTTGCAGTTTGACTCTACCAAAACATCACAAATGCAACGCACTTACAATTTTCCCTTTCGGTCCCTCAATTCCCATTCGTCCAGGATCACCCCTAGGACCCTAGAAATGGAAGACAAAAAATCAAGCTTGAACTTTGCTTTTTGTATGATTACCCGCGATTCATAAGGGGTTTCACTATAAGCACTATCGTGCAGCAGATAGTGGTCAACCTGCAGTTATCAGAATGAGGAAACAATGTTCATTCTTTTCATTATATTTGGCAGTCTTGTATTTGACGGCAAATAAATAGACTTGAGAGATATGGCTTAATTTTTATAAGTGTTGACATTTCTAAAGTTGACCAGCATCTGCTTCCTTGAAACCTATCAAAGCTGTTGCTTGGTACTACTTGGTACTTACTGGGTTACCATTGGATCCAGCACCTCCAGGAGTCCCTGGAAGTCCTCGTGGACCCTATAGTGTGTACAATTGCACATTAGTTATACATGCATGAATGATGAAAAATCCAAGTCTCTATTGAATCAAATACGTACCTTAGCACCTCGAGGTCCTCTTGTCGTCGGAGTACGACCCTCTTTCCCAGCCGGACCCTGGAGTAGAGGAATAGAAAAAAATCAGAATTAAAAATCAGCAAGCTATATCACTTTAGTGTATAACTTTGGGAAGTATTAGGTCCTATTTACATGAGATCTGGACGAACTCAAACCAGGACGATTTCATTTCGGTTTTAGTATTATTTATAGTGGATGTTTCGTCGCGAACGAAAAATTGCTCAGACCGGTCTGAAGTCGAAGTCATCCCGCTCGCTGGACCAAACCGACTGTCTTCGGATCAGGATAAAAGGACCTATTCCCTAATGAACAAAGTTTTGATCTAGATAAGTCTAGACAAAAATTTCATCACAGCTTGAAAGAGCATCACAAAATTTGTAATATTCAATATATAAGTATAAAAATAAGTTTCGTTGCGAAATGTTGTAAAATGCGGATAATATAGCCCTGCGAAGTTTGCTATTACGCACGGGAAATTGATACCGCTTTCAGAAAAAAGGTATCAATTTCCCGCGTGTAATACAAAATGACTGAAAAACGGCAAACTTCGCACGGCCATATTATCCGCATTTTACAACATTTCACAACGAAACTTCGGAATATTACTAATTTTGTGATGCTCTTTCAAGCTGTGATGAAATTTTGGTTATTAGGGAATAGGTCCATTAGGAGCAGGATGTATGTAAACACAAATACATTTCAGACCGGTCTTGGCTGTGTTCTTGGCTTCCGAACAAAGCATGGTCACAAAAAGGAAAATGGTGGACAGAGGGGATAAATTGAATGATTTGTGATATTCGTACAGGTCTCACGTGAACATACTGAAAATGTTCATTTTCATCCTGGTTTGAATTCGTCCCGGTTTCATGTAGACGGAGCCTTAGGCTTAGTACAGCATAAAGTACCAGTACAAATGGACCATTTGCGTTATAGACTAAATTTTGATCTAGACAAAAATTTCATCACAGCTTGAAAGAGCATCACAAAATTAGTAATATTCCAAAGTTTCGTTGCGAAATGTTGTAAAATGCGGATAATATAGCCTTGTGAAATTTCCAATTTTCAGTCATTTTGTATAATACAAAATCCATTGCTCACCGTTTCACCTCTGATCCCAGCCAACCCTATTTGTCCCGGTTCCCCAGGATCACCCTAGCAGCAAGGAAAATAATACATCAGTTGTTATAGAGCTCAATAGTAGAAAGGAACATAGAAAACAAGAAAGTAAGGAAGAAGGCAATCCAGAAGCAATTTCACAAATTATTTACTATTGGTCCTTGTCTTCCCGCGTCGCCCGGAGCTCCTACATCGCCTGTTGGTCCCTAAAAGAAAACGTTAAGATCTCGTCAAACGAAAATGAGAAAACACGAGAGTTTGCAAGCGAGAGTTCATCACCTCCCGACTCATGCCCCGGTAAAACGAGAACAAAAGTTACACGAGAGCTGATGAGAGTCGGCAAGCGAGAGTTTGCGTGAGAGTTTTCTCAACCCTCAAGTCCTGGTCAAACGAGAACAAGACTTGCATGAGAGTTGAGGAGCGAGAGTTCGCATGGGAGTTTTCTCAACTCTCATGCGCCGGTCAAACGAGAACAAGAGTTGCATGAGAGTTGGCAAGCGAGAGTTTGCATGAGACTTTTCTCAACTCTCATGCCCCGGTCATACGAGAACAAGAGTTGCATGAGAGTTGATGAGAGTTGGCAAAAGAGAGTTTGCATGAGACTTTTCTCAATTCTCATGCCCCGGTCATACGAGAACAAGAGTTGCATGAGAGTTGATGAGAGTTAACTGGATATTACCGCTTAAACAAGCAAAATGGGCCTTTAGCATCAGAACAGCCGATATTGGAAAAAATGTTGAAACGATATACCAGCATACCTTGCGGCCGGGATCACCTGTTGCTCCCAGAGTTCCACGCGAGCCGGACTTGCCCTAAATCAGGAAGCCATGTTGATCAAAACTGCCATATACAAAAACTCGACAATAATAAAAAAATTTAGTTTTGAAATCTCTCACGTATCTTACCTGTTTTCCCACCTCGCCTCGATCTCCTGTTACTCCTGGTAATCCTACTTTACCCTAACGTAAAAACAAAATACCTGAGATTTGTACACCTTGCATTCTACCTCCATACATCACCTGAAGGTACCCATTTTACCACTATACATCACCCTAAGGTACACACAAAAACCTCTTTTCTGAAGCTTTATTGTCCCTACCTGTACACCTTTCTTCCCTTTGCCCCCGTGTGCTCCACGTTCACCCAGTAATCCCTACAAGACAAAAAGATTAATGCTTTCACTTTGAAATACATTATAGATCGCGCTCACTGATTCAGTGACAAGAACTTCGACCTTCTCTCGAAACGTCGAAGGTAGTTGCATCCCATGAAACAAGGTTTTGTTATTATTGACATAGCTTACCCGTTCGCCAGGTTCGCCACGAGGACCGGTAGGACCTCGGAAGCCTTCCACTCCCTGAAATTAAAAAAGTTTCCACTCAACCGACTGTTATTATGTCTAAAACCCCGTACATAAACATTTTCGCTTAGAAGGGTTTCTGTTTCCTGTTCTTTACGCTGTTTTTCTTGACAAAAAGCCCTGTTCTATAGCTACTCAGTATATCAGTTTAATCACTTCTCACCTCGATTAGCCTTTGCTATACCTGTGAGATGTGATCACTTGTATATATCTATCTTTGACTAATAAATTATGTTATGTTAATTATGTTATGTTCATTAATCAGTTTTTTGCACCGTTAAGGAGAGCTTTTTGCCTTACATACGGGCAAATGAAATTTTTAGTCGAAAAATTCTGTTCTTATCTACATTGTGCTGATCTATAAGAACGCTTGTCTATTATTTATACCAAGGAGATAAAAAGTCAAATACAAAATCCATACCCTTAACCCCGACACTCCTTTGGTACCTTTAACCCCATGTGTACCTGGCGTACCCTACAGCAATGAAAAATTAAATTAACGAGTTGAATTTGCCTAAAAGTCTAAAAAATATAATAAGAAACTATAAAATCCAAAGCTTTATAGTTATCTAATGGGATAAAGTGCATTTAAACTTGTATTTAACTCAATAAACTGTATTTCAGCCTATGTTTAACTTAAAATCGACTCTATTGGTAGGATATAGTGGTCTAAATCTGCATTGCAAAAAGAGCGCGAAAACTTCCCGCCATTCTACGAAATGCCGCGAAACGTTTCGCGAAAACAGTTTGATTGGCTATTCATCCCTGGGATAGCCAATAAGAAGCGTTTAAATTTCCAACTTCTTTATCCAACCTTTACGCGTATTTTAAATAGAAATGGACGAAACAAAACAATACTAACGGAATTCAAAGAAAGAAAAATGGGTAAGAAATTATTTCAATTTGTTATAAAGTTTGCTTTGAAGGTTTAAAACTTTGACGTTTCTTATTAGCCATGTTTCGAACGGCGTGCTAAACATTCGGGGTAGTTAAAAATTCAAGAATAAACTTCGGCAAAAAGTTAGGGTCTGAATATTAGAAATATGTTTGGCAAACGTATTGCAACGTAATTATCTAAAGGATGCATTAAAGTTGTACATTGTATTTTTTCTATAAACATACCGCTGGACCTATATTCCCATTAATGCCTTTGATTCCCGGCTTCCCTGGTGGACCCTAAGAAAATTGAAGGGTAAACAATTAAACATTGAATAAAATGTGCAGCAACTGATGCATTCGAAGCTCACCTGTTTGCCCGCACCTCCAGTGGCCCCTCTGTTGCCCGCGTCGCCAGGACCGCCCTGCATTGGAAACAAAGAAAACGATAATGATGCTTGTGATGTTACTCTGAGTGTATATCCACACCGGGCAAGCTTGAAAAATATGCCTAGCCACAGTGGGAATCGAACCTACGACCTTTGGAATACTAGCCCAATGCTCTGCCAACTGAGCTACGTGGTCAGGTCGGTCCGAGTATGTGATATTTCGGAACTGAGTCTAGTTCCTTCGATATCGATGCAATCTAGTGATCAATGATAGCGTAGCTTAGTTGGCAGAGCAATGGGCTGGTGTTCCAAAGGTCGTAAGTTCGATTCCCACCGTGGTCAGGCATATTTTTCAAGCTTGCCCGGTGTGGATATACACTCAGAGTAACATCACAAGCATCATATTCACCTGAGTACATTACACCAACACAGAAAAATGAAAGAAAACGATATACTTCAAATCTTCATTTATAATTCAGGACAGCTGCGGTGTCAAGGATGTCGATAACAAGCTGTTGGAACAACTTGTAACAAGTCTGTTGAGCTCAACAACCTTGTAGCAAGTTGTCAAAAAGCCGTTGACAACTTGCCAACAAGCTGGGAACAAGCTGTGCGAACACATCCTGTTGACAAGTTGTTGGAACAACATTGCTACAATTGTGCTGCAGGTTTGTTACAACTTATGCGTTTTTACATGTATACTTGAAATGATTTTTACCTGTTGTCCTTGTCCACCTGACTTGCCTTCAACACCTATATCGCCTTTGTCACCCTACAAGATACATATATTCATATATACATCACGCAGTATTAAAACATGCAAAATCCTAACAATACACGATCATCACCTGTTGTCCAGCTAATCCCAGAAATCCCTTGTCACCTCGAGGACCCAAACTTCCCTGAACATCAAGAAAAACGGACAGACAAACCGTTATCGTTTGACAAAAGAGAAACACAATGGAAACCCGAAATGACGTCAAAATGGTGACGTAATTCATGACATCACATACCTGTAGTCCTATTTCCCCAGGTAGACCCGGTTCGCCTGACTTTCCACTTGAACCCTGCGGTTAAATAACAATTATTACAATCATGATAATGGAAGTGTTCCTAAAATATTCTACCAAGTCTTTTGCTCACAAGAACCAATTCATTTGCGGAGTTATGTGCAAAATTTGATAATGTCCTTTATAATTGATAAACTCCCGGTTGAATATGCATCAATCAGGTTTGGTTTTTCTGCAATTGACCAATCATAAAAAGACAGGAAGTGACCAGAACGATCAAATACACGAAGTTGCGTATAATTTGTCAAACGTCTCGAATAAATTGGTCCGTGTGAGCAAATGAATTAGTAGAATATTTTAGGAACAATTCAATTGACCATTTGCGTAATAGACTAAATTTTGATATAAACAAGTCTAGACAAAAATTTCATCACAGCTTGAAAGAGCATCACAAAATTAGTAATATTCCAAAGTTTCGTTGCGAAATGTTGTAAAATGCGGAAAATATAGCCTTGCGAAGTTTGCAATTTTCAGTCATTTCAGATTACAAACGGGAAATTGACAGCCTCGAAGGGTTTGGGGCTGTCAATTTCCCGTTTGTAATCTAAAATGACTGAAAATTGCAAACTTCGCAAGGTTATATTTTCCGCATTTTACAACATTTCGCAACGAAACTTTGGAATATTACTAATTTTGTGATGCTCTTTCAAGCTGTGATGAAATTTTTGTCTAGATCAAAATTTAGTCTATTATGCAAGTGGTCAATTGCCACGACTAATACCCTTAACTTCCAAGGTTAACGACGCCATCTTGAATCTATTGTTTCACCATTGTGTTTGCATACCCTGCAAATTTCCCTATAGGGAATTCCATTGTGTTTGCACCCCTTGCACTATTGTGTTTCATTATGGCGTCGTTAACCTTGAAAAGATCTATTCATGACCTCAAAATTTAGAGGGAAAATGTTTCAGTTACAGTTCGTACCCGAATTCCCTTGTATCCCTTCCAGCCAAGCGGACCTCCATCTCCTTTTGCCCCCTAAATAATGAAATATATAAATTCAGCGTTTCTCACAAACTACACTGAACTGTCAAAAATTAGTTTAGTTTTGTTCGTATTCCTTGTGCTTACCAGCGCTCCCTTTTCACCATCTTCACCTAGTTTGCCAACTTTTCCTCTTGGACCCTGGAAAGCACATAGTTCATTAAGAGGCAATTTTTTTCAATGTCACGTATTTGCAATGAAAAGTGTTCAAAATCTAAAATCTTTTTGGCGTTCTTCTCAAAATTACTTCCTGTTGGACCCTGGAAAGCACATAGTTCATTTTAAGAGGCAATTCTTTTCAATGTCACGTTTTTGCAATGAAAAGTGTTCAAAACCTAAAATCTTTTTGGCGTTCCTCTCAAAATTACTTTGTTTCAGCTTTATTCTCTAGTTTATAGAACTAGTTAGCTACCTTTTTCAATGCATCTGCCGGTTGAGAAACATAAAATAATAGTTACAAATTGTCAATTAAAATACAATTATCAATGATGCTTTAAAATTGACGCCTTATTTACAGCCATATAAGCAAAACTTACTTAACTTCAGACATCATTTTCTCTTTGGCGTATCATCTAAAATCTCTTCATTTTAGCATTATTTTACAGATAAAACACTGGACATACTTTTTAAGTTTGTTTGCCGATTGAGAAACGTATCGAAAAATAAAAATTTTGAATTTAGTCATAACCTCAAGTGATATATTATAAGCATTAGTTTTGAGCGCGTGTTACGTAACATACAAAAAAATCTCCTCTTGATTATATATCAATTTTTATTAATCTAAGCTTACAGTAGCATTTCAGTCAATCATATTAAAATATTCATGAAAAACTATCGTACCACTTCTCCAAGGGATCCCGTAGTTCCAGGAAGTCCACCAGTGCCTTTCTTTCCCTATCAAGAAGTTCAACATGTTAGCAATGGTTGTTCTTTAGCCTCAATTTTTTTTTAAAGTACCTTTGGCTAATGTTCAAATAATGAGCTGTAAAACAATGTAGCTATTAAAGACAAAAAGCAATCTAATCCAATTTTCATCCAAAGTTAACCAAATTTTAATCAATTTGTCCTTGGGCAATGTCCGGACGTACGGCCGGCCGGACGGACAGACAGATTAATGTCCCTAAGACCCTAACCAACCTTTTCGCCCTTTTCTCCAGCAGCTCCAGTAGTACCAGGACGTCCGGGCTGACCCTGAAGGGAAAAATATATTTTATCACACAATCACCTGGATACTACAGTAGCATTCTTAAAGATTACAAATCGTTTGTTTACCTTAAAGCCGTATGATCCAATTTCTCCGCGCAGTCCTCGATTTCCGGGTGGTCCCTAAAGATGGAGTGTGGTTATCTATTTACTTGTTTCCTTGCGTCTTGAAATACAAAACAACGGAAACTCCAAATGAATGAATTTTTACATTGTCTAGCTTTCGACTAAGTTTCAGTTATCATCAGGAAATACAAATGTTCATTTTCGAAGTCACCGTTGTTTTGTATATCATTAAAATACTCAGTGGTTTCCGTAATCCTTCCTTCTATCATAGCCTGTCAAGATATGATGGTCTGTATTATGTTTTTGTCGGAGTTTATGTTAATTTGTGTACGGTCACGGTGATTGAGCTCATTGTATTCTCGTATAATTAAGTAACCGTGCAATAGGGATCGCTGAGATGAAACGTGCAACCACGATAAATTATATTTTTAATGAAGTTGAGGCAAAGGATTTGTGCACAGTGAGGTGCAGTTCTACCTCAAACAAAGGTCTTCCGGACTATCATGACAGACTATGCTTCTATCTATCATTCAATTAATCGATACATCCATCCTCTTTCCTTCCTTTCTTTTTGCTTCCCTTCTCTATTTTGCTTTCTTCCTTCCGTCCTTCCACCAACCACCCATTCTTCCCTCCTCCCACACTACCACACTTCTTCCCTTTCTCCCCCTTCCCTCCCCCGTTCTTCTCTCATATCAAGTGCTTACCAAATCTCCTGTCTCACCAACCACGCCTTTCATTCCTTTACTTCCAGGATCTCCCTTGAAATCAACAAGAAAATAGATAAATGAAGAAGTTAGCGATGCTCAACAACGTTCGTACAGTCACAAAGACACAAAGGTAGGTCTATCTCACCAGTTCGCCTTTCTTCCCAACTTCACCAGTCATTCCTCGGAAACCTTTCTCACCCTAAATCATTTTAAAAATATTACATCGTATTATATCTGGAAAACTTGTCGTATATGGTAAAGCAAGCAATCGATAACATAAACCTCACATGCATTTCCTTTTAAATCGTTTCTTGTTCTTGAAAAAGGCAAGTGAAAAGCGCCTTTTCGGGCAAGGCCTGATTCAGATCATTCTTGAAACATTGGTTATTTTTTAGTCGTGCATAAGTTTACACTTACATATACACCATCCACTCCTATTATCCCATGAGGTCCTGCAGGTCCTTCTGTTCCCTACATAATAATGATGTAACAAAACTATGACCTATGTAAGAATCAGGCATTATGAATAAAAAACTTAGGCACTTTACCGGTTCGCCTATATGACCAACATCGCCTGTTTTCCCTGCAATGCCTTTTGGACCCTAAAATAAAGGGGGAACGATATCTAGAATTCAAAAACTCATTAATAATCCATGAGGAAAACACAAAGAAAAATCATAAGCGTGTCGTATCTTTATATGCGATAGAGATTTCCCTTGATTTACATAAATTTTAACTTTGATTTTCTCGACTTACACAACGTATTTTTTGAAAATTACTTCGCCAATGAACTTACTAGATCGATCGTTTTTGAAGCAATTTAAAACAATCGCAGTGCGTGTTTTATCAGACCTAAAGATACTCGGCTTCGCCTCGTAGATACTTGGCTTCGCCTCGTATCTTTATATCTGATAAAACACTGCTGCTCATGCTTTAAATAGTACTTAACTAGTTTAATATGAAACTAGTTTTCATATCTCTCAAGATGGTTCTGAAATTTAAAAAATTAGATTGCGTTTAAACCATTAAGTGGCAATGCACCCTACTTTATTTTTTTACTCTGTCTAATGCCAGACGATTTCACTCGCCAAGGGCAAAGTGCTGGGACTCAATAGATGAAAAGAGAAGACGATGTAGAATTTTACACTCACAATATCGCCCGGGTCGCCATCAGGTCCATCATCGCCATCACTACCGATTTCTCCAGTTATTCCTCGAGGACCAACATCACCTTGTTTGCCCTACGGAATGCAGCATTATTTTTACATACAGTAGCACAGAGATGGATCCAGCAAGATTCAGTACAGCGGAACTATGGCAGTAAGGCGCTAGTCTGTAGTCTTGCTTGACAATTTCACAATCATGTTACTATCTCATTTCGTCTCTACTTTATATTTGTTTTTGTAATTGCCTTTTCAAATCCAAAAATGGATTTGATAAGAAAATTGGACACCCCCCTCCCACCTTGCACCCTCCTTTGCCAAGACGGGTAGGGTTGCGCACCCCCTGCACGCCCCAATAAATGTACGCCCCCAATACCATATTTCGTTCCACGTACTCTTGAATGATAGAAATGATTCATGATTTACTCAACTACACAAATCTACCTTTTCTCCGGGGACACCCAGCGTTCCTTTACTTCCCACCGGTCCAGGAGGACCCTGTCAAAACAAAAACATCGCTTGTTAAGAAATGATATGCACATGGGCGGTGAAATTCGAGACTACTCACAGCTGGTCCCATAAGACCATTATCACCGATGATTCCACGCGCACCAGGTCGACCCTGAAACAAAAAGCCGGAGGTTAAAACAGACTAAAATTTTAAATGATAAACATGAGTGTATGTACTGTAGAGTCATACGGCTGACACCATGGATAGTTTAGACTTAACTGGCAAAGCAGCTGTGACAAATACAACTATCTGCCTCTGGCTGCAGCGCTCTAATCAACTGAGCTACAGAGAGACAGTTGTCAAGCTTCAACCATAAGTTTTTGTACAAACAGTACACTAAGGAGAAAATAGTATTAGGTATATGGGCAAATATCATGGCATTACAGTCATATGGTACCTTTTCACCATGTTTTCCCTGATCACCTTCCATGCCAGGTTTACCCATATAGCCCTGAAAAATTGACAACGATCATTATTAAACTGAAAATAAAAAAGAATCTTCCAAAGAGAACAACAAAAATGTCAAGTGAGCTGATACCTTCACACCAGACGATCCTGTCAGTCCCCCAAGTCCAGCAAGTCCTCTAGGTCCCTAAACAAACATATACAGAGATACCCGAGATTTGGTGGTACTTACTGGCCAGATTCCTAGAGAGACGAAAACTGATCGAGCTATCTAGTATAAAAAATATATTGATGTTACTTCTACCTGTTCGCCTTTAAAACCCGCAAGGCCTTGGACACCAGCGGGACCTCCTACACCCTAATAAAATAAAGAATGTATTTAAAACTAGTTATGTTCTGAGAAGAATAGTTCCAGGTTATTTTATTACATACAACCTGTCGCAGTTTCATTATAACTCACCGCTTCCCCACTCTCGCCGGGAGCTCCTGTATGGCCAACATCTCCCTAGAGTAAAAACACTTACGTTTAGAAGAGATTTCAAGCTTTACCTTACCAAGCTTTTAAAACTTTACAGAGTCATATCAAGACCGACCGTTAGTTTTATTAAAACGTTTACTAAGTTCTCACCGACATGCCAGGTTCGCCAGGGAGGCCAATTTCACCTTTGTCCCCTTTTTCACCCTGAAACGAAAACAGCAAGGTATAACACGTAAAAACACATAACTTGTAACAAACCTGCAACAGACTTGCATACCAATGCTGTTTCAACAACTTGTTAACAGGATGTGTTCGCACTGCTTGTTCCCAGCTTGTTCACAACTTGTTGACAACTAATGCTACAAGGTTGTTGAGCTCAACAAACTTGTTGACAAGCTTGCTACAAGTATGTTGCGAACATATCTTGTCAAAACACATTTTGTTCAATAAGCCGTGCATATATAGAATGATGGATATCCAAACGAATACATAGAAGCAAACCTCATCGCCGAGTATTCCAGAAGCGCCTTCTAAACCGCCAGCTCCCTAGAACAAATCAAAATTCAGCTACACACAAATTGACCATATGTCAAATTGACCAATAAGTGGACTTCACTAAGCACTAGCGTGCAGCAGATGATTGATTGATTGATTGATTGATTGATAACTTTATTAAAGTGTCATATCTTATAGCCAAAGATCAACTTTCACTAATCGGGGACACTTAAAATTATCTTAATTACAATAATATGAAGCGATTACGTCTAGCTAATTTATCTATTTACATATTCATGTCATGCATAATCTAATTATTTAAATATTATAGTGCTAAGTGCTACATATGGCACAATTCTTACAAGAATTGGTGTCAACTAAGTCGGCCAAATCTACTTTCCTGATATTGTTCTTAAAGCTTTGAATAGAAGGTAGAGTTCAATGGTGGTCAACCTGCAGTTATCAGAGTGAGGAAATAAAGTAAGGTGCTTTATTTGTTATTAGAATTGTTGTACTTGGTGGCCAATAATAGAATTGAATGATATTGTTTAATTCCAGCTTTTGACTAAATTTTTATCAAGGCAAGAAGAACGAGATCCAACACCACAGCTAGAAAGAGCGTCTTAGAATGAGTGAAACTGTAAAGATTGGTTGCTAAATGTTGTAAAATGAAGAAAATATAGCCCTGTGAAGTTCGCAAATTTTGTTTATATTTGTATTACGCGAGGTAAAAATAACCACTTTCGGCTCAAAAATGGTTATTTTTCCCGCGCGTAATGCAAATATACACAAAATTTTTGGAAAATAAAAGGACTATATTTTCCTCATTTTACAACAATTCACAACCAAACTTTGCTATTTTACTCATTTTAAGATGCTCTTTCCATCTATGGTAATGGATAACGTTCTTCTTGTCCAGATCAAAATTTCGTCTAGCTGGAATTATCATTTTCTTGCTCCTCAGCCTCCTGCGAGTGTGAACGCTTCCGCACTCGACCACCTGCCCTGTAAGGGCGACCGAATTGCACTATTTCTAAGACCAAATACTCATGGTACTCACTGAATAATTATGACGTCATCGCTTCCAGGAAATACTCCGTTGCCAAATCTTGTTCTTCGTGGCAGGATTAACTGGAAAACCACAAAACGCGTTTTAAGAAAAAGCACACAAAATTCCACGAAAAATCACATTACGCCGCAAAAATCCTCGCATGTTTCATTCACCAACGGTAAATACATGACGTGACATCACTAGGGTTTGATTTTTGAATTTTATTTAAATTATGGTCGTTCCAGTTAATCCGACAATCGAAGCCAAGACATTGACAGCGAAGGTAAATGATACAATGAGAGGATGTTTGCATTATTATATAACACACGCATGCATTACACAATCGTGAAATTGGTATAATCTGGCGATCATTTTCCATGGCAATTTTCGATGTGGTAATGAATGTGATTTTCTGATGCACTTGTCTAGTTATAATTAACAAATATAAAACATTTTTCGTGTTGATATACAGTTATATCAACACGAGTGGAAATTGGGATATCCGAAGGGCGGAGTGTTTTCACACAATTTCAAGTTTTGCCAATTTCCACGAGTGTTGATATAACTGTATATCAATAAGGAAAAATGTTTTATTTTTTTATAATATGGCACAAAGAAATATGAAGAAAGAAATTTTCCGTGTTGACAATGAGTTATATCAACACGGCTCTTAGCCAATCAGCGTTCAGAATTCACAAATGCTATATTATAATTTCTCATCAGTATGAAAAAAGTGCTTTTGGATTACTCCAAAGCGTTGCCTAAAAAAACTGCTGTTGGTTGTGTCTTCTCGGATATAGACCATCAAAATTCTGACATGATTGACCATAGCAACTTTCGATGTGGTAATGGATGTGATCAATTCCAACAGTTGCCTGATTATGATTTCACATCAGTAAGAAGCATGAAGAGTGCTTTCAGTCTGACTCTACCAAACACCGCAGAATTACTACAGAGTTGGTTAGTCTTCGTGTAGACGCTCAAAATCCTAATCCACATCAGAGTTGTAAATTAAACATGATAAAGTAAAATTTGACCTTTTGGTGTTGGCTTATACTAGTGTAAAAACCTGCACATACAAATGAGCCTCGATGTCCGTCTGTTCCTTTCTCCCCACGTTCGGCTTGCTTTCCCTAAACCAAATACATACATTCATCACCTTTGATGGTTAAAGCTCAAACTATGCTTAAACTACGCCGACAAAACAACAATACACTACAGTACAAAAGCGTCTATTCTATCACGATCTTTCACAATACAGGACAAGTGCTGATGTGGTCAAAACTCTATTCTTCTACCTTCGGGCCTTGACCTCCGCGACCCCCACGTGATCCAGGTACACCCGGCAAACCCTTCTCTCCATCGTCACCGAACCCTCCTGGTCCTCCTGTATCACCCATAAGACCCTACGAGAAAACCAAGATGTTAACCACGACTGTTAGTAAGCTAAATGGATAAGAGAGGATTGCTTAATATCCTTACTTGCAGCCGAGAGCTAAGCTGATTACAAAGGGTGCAGCTCAACCTGATCGCCTCAAGTTTATCCACAATGCATGACTCACCTCTTTACCGAAGTCCCCCATTGACCCTGACTTTCCCGATAATCCCGTGTTTCCCTATAGAAAGTTTCAAAGATCAACATTTGGTCAACTTGTTAAAACTTGTGCATTTTTGAAAACTTCACATACCTTGCTTCCAGCTTCCCCTCTCTCTCCTTTTAACCCTCCAACACCCTTCTTGCCCTAACAAATCAAATAAATCTGACATTACAGCAAACTTTTTTTCTCCAACTAGATTCAGAATACTGCACACGATTTGACTACCTTCACGGCTTTAAGACCTCTGATGCCTTCTTCACCGCCATGACCCTAAGAAAGGAACGATGTTGGTAGATATTCAAGTTCGTCGTTTGAATGAACCTTAAGTATGTATATCACGCCTTCATCACGTGTTCATCACGTGTTCACACGTGTTCATCACGTGTTGATCACGCCTTCATCACGCCTTCATCACGCCTTCATCACGTGTTCATCACGTCTTCATCACGTCTTCATCACGCCTTCATCACGTGTTCATCACGCCTTCATCACGTCCTTACCATGCAAGTGATCAATCACATAGAGCTTTCTGTTCTCACCTTTCTACCTCTCACGCCGATGTTTCCTTCTTCACCAGTAAGACCGCGACTGCCCTAAAACGGTACCAATCCGATCACTTTCATTATATAATTATACAATACATTCTCAGGGATAACCAACAAATATAAAATTAAACACATACTTCATATGCTAACGTGTGTTTGTGCTTGTTCAACCCAGTTCACTTCATTTATGCTTACATTATCAGAACAGTGTATAGTATCCGAAAAAATGAACTGTGTTTTCCATGCTTATGCATGGGTTTGACCACATAACCACAGATATGGCAGGGCTCAAAGTAATGGGAGATACTGAGATAGGTCTCCGGTCAACTTGATTTTAGAAACTATATTAGAACTTGTTTCGATACATCATAGTTTTATATTTTAATTCAAGACGTCAGCAATCACATTGGAAGACATGAAAATGTGGCCGGTCAAAATGGCTGGTGAAGTAAAAAAGTGACCGGTCAAGAGGCATTTTTGGCCGGACGTTATTTTGAGCCCTGTATGGTAAGCTCAATCAATATTGCATCGCTTAGAAAGCTTACTTACAAGGGGTCCAGGTATTCCAGCATCACCGGGAGGACCCAGGCCACCCTGAAAATTAAAATATAACAATGTAACATTATGGTGACGGTTGAAACGACCGAACTTTTCAAGTTTTAAATACCTGTTTACCAGGCGCACCAAACAAGCCATGATGTCCTCTTTCTCCGTGAAATCCCTGAGAAGAAATTTGAGAAATTAACATGCAGAAATTTGAATAATTAACACGCAGAAATTTGAATAATTAACACGCAGAAATTTGAAAATTAAAATGCAGAAATTTGAAAAATTAACACGCAGAAATTTGAATAATTAACATGCAGAAATTTGAATAGTTAACACGCAGAGATCTGAAAAATTAACATGCAGAAATTTGAATAATTAACACGCAAATTTCTTTTGTATCGATTAGAGGCTTATATGCTAATGCTTGTCCATTATAATCTACAGTTTAATTCAAATACCCTGTTGCCTTTCCTGCCTTTGCGACCAACAGGCCCGTCAGGACCCTAAAACATAAATTTCAAAACATCAAATCTGCATCATTCTCTACTGTATTTTTTATATCCGACAATAGGTAGATATCCGTGCACAATTAAATACAATAAAACAGGAATGGATTTACTGGTGAGGGGAGCAGGAGGAACCCCTTAGCGTTGCCGATGAGGGGTTGCAAGAGAGATTGCTAATTTTTTTACCGGATTTGGAAAGACCATGCACTTAAGAATATGATAGAGACAATACATGATGAGATAGTAACATGATTACACATTTGGTCAAGGGTCACACCCTTCACACCCTGAATCATGACCAAAGCTTGATAAGTATCCCCTCCCCCCTCCCACTACCATCCCTACAAAAACAGTGTACTAGCATACTCACGGGATTACCGTCTGGTCCAGGTGCACCACGAAATCCAGTCTCTCCTGGCTCACCCTAGTTGAGGAAACAGTCAGTCACATCATCTTTTGATGCAAACACAATGAATCCACAAACATATTTCTATAAATTACCCTTAAACCAGGAATGCCTTCGATTCCCCTATCTCCAATTGGACCCTGCAAAAACATATTTCTACATTAATTGTCTTGATATTTTTTGTGTGTGTTTCGAACAGACTTGGCCTCGTAGCTCAGTTGGCAGAGCATTGGATTAGTATCCCAAAGGTCGCGGGTTCGATTCCCACCGTGGTCAGGCTAACGTTTCAGCCTGCCCGGTGTGGGTATACACTCAGAGTAACATCAAAAACAATTGTCTTGTCTTGTCGAGTTTTCTTGCTTTACAACGGTATTTCTCCAAACATTAAAAATCTCATTAATAATTCATGTTCATTTAACAACATGTTAATTGATAAAACAACATGTTGATGCAACGTGTGCAAAACGCTGCTGCCAGCTTCGTCACTAATCGTTATTGTTCAGGAAAAGACGTCTTACAGCTTGGATGGCTTCCAACCTTGGAGAGAACTCAATTAAACCTCCTCAAGCATACTCACCGAGCAATCTACAACAAGGACTCTTGTCCTGAGTACTTAACCCTGGAAGTATATAACCCTGGAAGAACGCTGCGCTCTAATGCAGCACCACGATTGTCGATTCCATTAATAAAAGGAACTTTCCAGGAGACAACAGCGAACTTATTCAATGATCTTCCCCCAGAAGTACGATCATGTGCAGACTTAAACGTATTCATGAGGGAAGTGAAACAATTACTGAAATCCAGAGCATTCCTACGCCTTGAATAGACTTATTTGTATTGTATTAGTGCAATGTTTCTTCTTATTAACAATTTAGTTTAAATGTATAACAATTATTAACAATTTATATATATTTAATTTTTTTCAGTTACGCAGATGTAAAGCTACCATGTAGATAAGCTGCAATAAAGTCTTTATTATTTATTATTATTATTATTATTATTATCATGTTGATTTACATAAACTTTATCTTTGATTTTCTCGGCTTAGACAACGTTAATTTTTAAAGTTACTTCGCCAATGAACTCATAAGACGGGTCGTTTTTAAGCTGTTTAAAACACTCGCAATCCGTACTTGATCAGACCTAAAACACTAATGCCTGTCGCGTCGTGTTTTATATCTGATAAAGCACTCTTACCCGTGAATACAACATACCATAAAACCTTTTTGTCCTTCGATGCCTTTCTTTCCAGGCGGGCCCTATGAAATGACGTCATACATTACTCATAACTCCATATTCTTATATGTTCACAAAAATATTTCCAATATACTTACAACTCCGCCTGGTGTCCCCATGTTCCCTCTATCCCCCTGCGGACCAAGCTGCCCCTGAAAATTGTGAGACAGAACGGATGAAATGCGAATAATCAAATTTTCTTAATGCCACGTTAGCAACACAACGAAGAAAACACGTTATCAAGACATTTCTTCAAGTTTTACGAATATTCGAAGTTTTGTGAAAACACTTGCCACACAGGCTTATTGTCTTGTGTTTATATATTATTAAAAATTAAAATACTCATCAATAATTCATAAACCTTGTAGCAAATCATGTCAGCCATAATATGTCACATGGAGTGACTTTATATCTGATAAAGCATGTGGCATTGTATAAT